CAAATAAGGGCTTCTGCGAATGCAGTTAAACGCTAGGTATGCTGGAAAATTTCACTATATGTAGCATCACTGGAGTCCGTATAAGCGAGCGCCAGCAGAAGAATGGGGATTGAAGGTGATTCCAAGGCCCTTTCTCGAGTTTCACCTATGTCTAGGCGAAGAAAAAGAGATAAGAACGAGCGCATGTATTCAAAAGCATTCATCAAATAAACGACCCAGAGAATGAGAATTCTGTCGCGAAAGAGTGTCGATGGGAACTATCCATCTCTTAAAAAATGCTTATTGAACTACTGAGGAGAACCACTCTAGGTAACATAAGGAGATTTCGTAATCAGAGTTCTTGGAACGCGTACGGTAACGTGAGCAGCTGAACTGGTAAAACTATAATGTACGACATAAATATTTTTAAACAAAACGACAAAATTGCGAAAGAACCTGTTTTGTACTTACGGACAAAACGTTTTTCGAGAACAAGGAGACCATCCAAGATTGGAGGCATTATTCAGAGTAGAGCGTTGAGCGCCAAAACTCCGCTGTTAACGCCGGTAGTCGATCGATATCGCACAAGTCGGCGGTAAATAACTTCCTCTTCGAGTCCTTATTGGTTGTATTACTCACTACACTAGTTCTACACAGCTCCGTTCAAAAAACAACATATTTCAAACACTACCCGTTGATTCTATGATCTCGAGCTTCCAAAGCTTAACGCTCTGTAATGGAAGCGCTAAGAATGAGGATACGAAAAGCTTATGAACTCTCTTGGAACACTTGGCTGCTGTAAATGATGAACTGATGCTGAAGACGAACCTTCTTCTTACCTCTCTTCAAACCAGCGAACGGTTTATCTATCCCCACAAGCATGTCTATCTTTAGTAACTCTTCCAACAACTCAGAATTAAAAAGATAAGGGAGGTGAACTTTGTTCTAATCAATAAACAACCAAACGGCCTTCACTAGAACATTTGGTGTCAATATCTTTTACTTGAACCACTTATACTGCAATGTTACCGCATTTTGTAAGTTGAAATTGAAGAGAGGTGAACGTTTGACGAGAACAAGTTTTGATGACAAATCGTTCAGAACCAGTTATCCGGCACCCATGACCTTCGCTTTTCATGATGGACTATGCTCAAGTCTTACAGATCTCCTTTACTTACAATTTTACTCTTCATTTTCATGAAATCCTGCGTCAGAGAGCGGCTAGACCAAACCATTAATATGAAAATCAGGCGTTCTGGTTGGTGACAATCTTTTTAAAAATAAAAAACTGAACTGAACTTTCAACTATAAAGTTCTTTTCTCTTTACATTGTTGGCTGTTGACCCTAGCCGTCACTTATTTACCTGAACAACGTACAAATCTTTCTCCACTTACCGACTTTCTTCCAGGTAGGAGCAGATTTGGCCGAACACGCGATGAGGCCGAGTGTCACTCGTTATGGTGAGTTTCTTATTCGGATTACTGCATTTGTTATAGCGTGCTCCTTACTTGGAACCTGTCCTGCGCCTTTCTACAAAGCCCAGAAGATCCAAGGTTACTTACTCAAGTTTTTCGTAGATTTATAGGTGCAAGCCAGGAGTAAAGTTGGTTTGGGGATAAATGGATCGTTCCTTGTGATATGTCCATGGTTGTTTAGTTTACGCCCGCTCTTGTATTTTCTAAAAAACTGCGGTGTCGTGAAGCATCAATCGCCTCGAAGATATTTTGAGCTTACCAGAGATGCGTTAGCATTTCGCGGAATGGGTCCAAATAA